CGGTGCACAAAAATTCGTGCACTTGGGGGGGGGGGGGGGGAGGCCCTCAGCCTGACCTGCCCCTCTCTCTGTCCAGGAGCTCTTGGGTGATGTTCGAATGATGATGGCTTAGGCCCCCTCCCCCTAAGGAGGGGGCCTAAGCCATCATCATTCAAACATCCCCCAAGGAGGTGGGCCCTAAGCCACAGTCTAGCCTCCCTCTGTGGAAGCAACTGGCAAGATGACCAGCAGACTGATCAGGGGATGGCACAGGCCAGCTAGTAGCTGGCCCAGCCTCCAATCGCCCCTCCACCGCTGCCAGTCACCGCTGCACTCCGATCACTATCTCCTCCCTCTATCCACTGGCACCCACTTTGGCTGGCCTCATAAAACTCGCTTGAAGGCCCTGCCCCCAATGACTGGTTGTTCCGATGTTCAATTGATTTGCATATTAGGCTTTTATTACATAGGATATCTACATAAGATCCATTTGTTTTTGTAAAGATAAAATATTTAATAAAAATTCTTGAAATTTTATAATCTAAAAAAAGAAATATATCCTAAGAAACCCAAGACAGCAATCAGAAAGAATATATGCACTCCTATGTTTATAATATCATTTTATTTACAATAGCTAAGATCTGGAAACAGCCCAAGTGCCCATCAGTAAATGAGTGGATAAATGTACACAATGGAATACTAGTGGCGGTAAAAAAGAAGGAATCTTACCCTTTGCGACAGCATAGACAGATCTGTAGAGTATTATGCTAAACGAAATAAGCCAGTGAGAGAAAGATAAGATCACATGATCTCAGTCATATGTGGAATCTAATGAACAAAACAGATCCAGAGACATAGAAGCATGGAACAGACTGACGAATTTCAGAGGAAAGGTGGGGATGGATGGGTTATCCAGGGAACTCATACGCATACTACAGGCCCAATGCAGAAAAATTCATGCAAGAGTAGGCCTTCCTCTCTTCACCCCCCCCCCCCCCCCCCCTCCGCCTATACTGGCTTCCCTCCTGCACCTGGAACTGGGCTGCTTCCCTCTGGCTGCTTCCCTCTGGCTGCCACTGCCAGGCACCAGGATCTCGGCTTCACTCCAGCCCCAGCTTTGTCTAGAAGGACATCTGGAATGACGTCCAAAAGGACGTTCAGTCTAATTGGCATATTAACCTTTTATTATTATAGATGTGCACAGCCCAAGGATAGAAACAATAGTGTGGTAAAGCCCTGGGAGAGGTGGATGTGGGGTGGAGAGGGTTAATGGGGTAAAAAAGGGGGGCATCTATAATACTTTCAACAATTCAGATAAATTTAATAGAAAGTATACTGATATTAAACTAATCATAATGTAATGTGTTAAAACACTATTCCAGGAATGTGAATAAAACACCAGTGGAAGAAGACAATTTGATTCATTTGTACGTTGGAATAACAGATAAGAAGAGGCCATAAAAGACTCTTTATAGGATGAGACTTTGTATTTGAGTAGGGCTTTGAAGGATGATCAAGATTTTGTCATGTCCAGACTGAGGAAATAGCATTCTTGATAGATAGTAAAACAAAACAAAATACCTATATGCAAATGTTCTTAAAATAGAGACTGGTAAGCTAATGTTTAGTAAATGAATGAGCAGACAAATTGCATGAAATGTTCAAGGAAAGATGAGTGGCTAGATGAAAGGGTACTGGAGTAGGGGAGATGAATGCCATGAGAGAAAGATTAAAACAGTGTTTAAATATCAAGCTATCTATGTTGCTCTTCCTGTTTAAACGCAGTCTTTTTCCACTGCTGTACTATTGTAGGAGCCTCTCTCCCAAATGCTTAACTTAATTTCTAAATTCTTTCACTTTTCCAACTCACTGTCTGTGGTGTTTTCAGGATGGGGCTTTCAGAAATACAGATCTGATTACATTATTCTCCTTCCCACATTTCAGTGTACTTCATGGCATTCTGTCAATTTATAATTTATAATTTCTGTCAATAAGATCTTAAACTCCCAAATGGATTAATTTACAATTAATTTATTTTATTAAAATAGCTTCTAAACAACCGAGACCGATTTGGCTCAGTGGATAGAGCGTCAGCTTGGGGACTGAAGGGTCCCAGGTTTGATTCCGGTCAGGGGCATGTACCTTGGTTGCGGGCATATCCCCAGTAGGGGGTGTGCAAGAGGCAGCTTATCAATGATTCTCTCTCATTGATGTTTCTAGCTCTCTATCTCTCTCCCTTCCTCTCTGTACAAAATCGATAAAATATATTTTTCTTAAAAATAGCTTCTAAACAAAATTTAACTAATTATATTATTAAGATGGGGAAATAAAACAAATAAATTGAGGTCCCAAGCCATAATCACTTACTTCTGTGAATTCAAATAGTTTGATGTAAAATTCAAGGGTTATATACAATTAAGCTAAACATAATCAAATACATAATATATAGCACATATGGTTCAAGTGACACAAAATCTTTAAAATTATTGCTGTCGGTATATTAATAGAATCTTCCCTGGATATATTTTTTTAAAAACAAAAAAACTGCCCTCTCTCAACCCTCATGTTATAGTAAAACTTCAATCAAGAATTTAATGACAGACTTGTTTAATGACTACAGTTCTGAGAAAACTGAAAATCTGCAATTATCATACTCTAAATTGGACATTTGCTTTTTAAAGATTAAGACAGGTTAAAATAGCATTTTATATATGTAAAAAAATTCCTTGGAATTATATAATTACAGTTACCAAAAACTTCCTATTCCTTTGGTGTATTTCTAGGGAACAATTTTGTTCTTTAAGATATATGGTTCTAGGCCAGAAAGCATTCTGGATTTAGAATGAGAAAACTTAATGTTAAGTCCTGCTTTATTCTGCTACTTATTAAATAGATCAAATCATTATCTTTTCTGGGCATCTTCTGTATGGAAAAAACTGAGTTAATAATACCTTAATTACTTCATTTGGTTATTTGCAAAATGTATATATGAAATCATTCCAGCTTTAAATGATCATTGGTCACTAAATTTAATAAACTCCTAAAAAGCACAGTTATTTCTGAACTATCTCAATATTAAAATTCTTTCTACTTTTGAAGATGGGGAATAAGATTTAGGGAATTAACTGTTTATTTTCATAATTCTATTGGAAGAAGAACCAATAGGGAACAGGAGAAAATATGCCCAGACAAACCTTTGGCAAAACCACCAGTTCATACCTGGAAGGAGATTTGAGAGAATGTCTAGTGTCTGGTGACACTAAGTGAGAAGCCCTCAGTGAACGATTATCTCCAAGAGCAGAAACGGGGTGAAAGAATGGACACTAAGTTATTCATGCAACATATGTGCTCCCTTGATTTCTCAGGAATTGTGCCCCTAGATTAGCTTTCTTTTGAAAACAGACTATGAAAAAATAATAGCAGTTGGCAATTTTTTCCCCCTTAATGCAAAAATGTATTTTACTTGGTTGGTATCATGTAATTAATGAATTTACTCATTAACAAACAAAATTAACACAAATGTTATCATCTAAATCTAGTTTACTATTTATACAACTGAATAATTTCAAAATATCACTGGTCAATTAAAATTTTTAAATTCTGAATGTGAAAAATAGCCTACATTTATTCTAAGCTGCACTCACAAACCCTTCATATTATCTTGGTCTCAAAATGATCTGGAAAAAGACCAGGGAGGATTTATGTCTATTTATATGTCACTTTCATTTTATTTCCTAATTATATAAACTGAAACAATTTATATAGAGTTCCAATTTATAACTTTTTAAAAAACTAAAGAAAACCAAACTTACTGAAATTCCTAGTCATTTAATGTATTTTTAAATGATTAAAACTTATCCAATAAATATACTGATGTCATTATTGTTACTGCATAAAAACAAAGTGTTCTCTGCAAGAGAACACCTTATAGTACTCAGCACAAAAACTTAAGGAAATAAACTCGACTTTTGACCCTACAGCTTAAGTCACAACATTTCTCATCAGAATGATTAATTTTTACAAAAAGACAGGAAAATAAGACAGAGCCACCCACTTTGATATTCTCATTCTCTGAAAAAAAAAAAAAAATCCCAATTGAGCTCATGAACTGGAACCATCATTTTGCAAAAAGTATGTGATCCATCAAGAGTACATTTTGATTATAAGATTAACAAGATCGTTATCTTTCTTATTCTTTGCACCAAGAAAACTGTACTGACATTAAAAAGTGGTTCTAGCTTAGTTTTACTTAGAAATCTGATAAACTTTTGCCCAAGAACCAACTAACCTTTAGTAACAAGGTTACTTCATTTTTTTTCCTTTTTTGCTTACTTGGAAACATATAAATAACAAAATATAACTTAAAAAACTTACACCATTGATACAGGATTCATTTTTGTGAAGCTTTGCTATATCCATGGAGTAGAGAATGGAGAGTATATATATTTTTAGTTAAGATATTAAGCAAGATATTAAGCACCCTATGGCTCTTGTAAGCCAGTCTCGTGTGTGTGTGTGTGTGTGTGTGTGTGTGTGTGTGTGTGCGCGCGCGCGCACTCAAAAAATTGTGAATAAGCAGGAAGTGATTTTTTTTCCTGCAAGCTCAGGGAGTCAGCTGTTGGCTCTAAGTAAAAGCTTTAATCTAAAAGGAGCCAAAATTTAAGATGATTCTAAAAGATTTGGGTTCTAAGCCTTTGTGTCACTATATTTTCCCCTTACTTTTGAATAACTTGGGTGCAGAGCAAATCAGCTCTAACATTGAGAAAACTTTGCTCTAAAGGAAAGAGGAGAGTATTAAATTAATTATTCAAGATGAGTTATGAGAAGAATAAGAATCATTCAAAAACAGGATGGAATGAAAATGGGGAAGGAATATGGGAGGGAATGGCAAAAAGAGGGAAAAGGACAGAAAAGCAAAAGAAAGAGAGTGCTGAGAAAGTAGTTTGGAAACTAAATTGATAAAAAAAAAAAACAAAAAAACAAAACAAAAACAACTTGTTCATTTAATGTAATTCACTTACCTGTGTTATTTTTTCTATTCCCTGAAAGTTGTACTTTTCAAAATGTTCTGCTATATTTAGGAAGGTGTGACATTGTAGGTAGCAGCAATTACTTAGGACTATCAAAAGTTGCTGTTCCTAAAAATAAAACAAATTTTTTAAAAATTACATTTATATTAACAAATTTAAAGCCTAAGAGTTATCATTACCACTTATTAAATTTAATTGTTATCTCTTGGTGTTTAATATCAATATTCAACACTTCGGTTTCCTTTTCTTTCCCAATATTAACAGAGAGAAACATTAATACAATTCTATAATTTTAATTGCTCATTACTATATAATACAAATTTCAATAATGTTCCCTTTGAAATTTAACAGCTGTAGAGATTAATAGGCTGATGAAAACAGTTAACTAAAGTAGAATTAGCTGTAGTTCAAATGAAAGGGATTCATGTTATTAGTTATTCTACTTAATACTTTGTGCACAAAAAAGCTATAAAATAAATATTAAAAAAATATATGTTATTGATATTTTATAGAGAGGAAGGGAAAGGGATAGAAAGCCAGAAACATCAATGAGAGAGAAACATCAATCAGCTGCCTCCTGCACACCCCCCACTACAGATGTGACTGCAACCAATGTATGTGCCATCGACCAAAATCGAATCCGGGACCCTTCAGTCCATAGGCTGATGCTCTATCCACTGAGCCAAACCGGTTTTGGCTACAATGGATATTTTAAGTGATTACAAAAACTGTAGAAACTCTTAGAAAATAGTTTATAAGAAAATTGTAACACAATCCATATGAGGGCTCTTTCAAAAAACTGGATCTTCACAGAATTTTTTATGTAGGACAATCTCCCTCTTTTGGGGAGTGAAGGCACAGAGGGTAGGAGACTCCTGCAGTGTCAGTAACAAAGGTCTAGAGCCCTATATTCCATACTGGCCAGAGTTCTAGCTGTTTAAAGTCACTTCTAATCAAAATTACAGACCCCAATGCTAAAAAATAAACCCCCATATTTTACTGTTCAGAAGAACTATTTTTGTAAATAAAATTCCAGAAATGGTATTTGTCACTACTATTGAAGCTCACAAAGAGCACTTTCCCTGTGCTCCCTCAGTTATTAAGAGCATTATCTGGACAAATGTTACTGAATTAGGGCCTTAGTTTAATATCTCTTGACTAAAAACTAAGGTAAAAACCAATTTCCTATTTCATATGTAATCAGAATTATGTTAAAGTCAATATGATAAACATGAAAATAAATAGGCCTCTTTCCTTTGAGGTATACAAACCACAGAATAAACTTTTTTCCATCTTATTTATTTAAGTTTATTTATTGATTAAGGTACTGCATATGTGTCTTTAACCCCTCGTTACCCCCCGATCTTCCCACTCATGCCCTCATTCCCATTGTCTGTGTCCATTGGTTAGACTTATATGCATGCATACAACTCCTTTGGTTGAGCTCTTGCCCTTATCTCCACCCTCCCCTACCTTCCCTGTGTGGTTTGTTTGTTTTTCTTTATTGATTAAGTTATTACATATGTGTCCTTATCCCTCCATTGCCACCTTCCCCCCAACTCATGCCCTCACCACCATATATATATAAAGCCTATATTTCTTAACATTTTCACAAAATAAAACAACTCCAAAGTATATAGTACACTACAGCACTAATGTAGTAGGTAATTTAGGTAGATTTATGAAGTAGTCATAGTCGTTTTGAGAAAGGGGGAGGGGAGGAGAGAAACATCAATTGTTTGATCCTGACCATGGATCAAACCACAAGCCAAGTATGTGCCCTGACCAGAAAATCAACCCTCAGTGCACAGCATGATGCTCAACCAATTGAGCCATGCTGGTCCGGCTACATAGTTTTTAAGTGACATGTTTAACCCTCTATTATTCATTTTAATTACTTATCCTCTTACTTACAGAAGTCAAACTGAAGTCTTCATGAATACTTCCAAACAAATCAGGAGAAGAAACATCAACAGAAAGACTGAATATAAAAGCAAGAAAGAAAAGTTACAATCAAAGTCCTAAAATTAAAAATGCTAATATAATGTTACATGTCAATTATACCTAAAAAAAAAAAAAAAAAAAAAAAAAGGAAGCTTATGTTAATTTGGCTTTAAAATCTTTTGATCAGTTCTCTGCATAATAGAATTGAGATGGCAGAGTAGGTAGATCCTGAGCTCACCTTCTCTTATGGATACAAAAGAAACTACAACTAATACACAGAAATAAACACAGGGAGACACGCAAAATGAGGAGATGGAGAAATGTGTTCTAAACGAAAAAGGACAAAATCCCAGTTAAAAAACCTAAATGAAATGGAGATTAAGCAGTCTAGCAAATAAAGAGTTCAAAATAAAAGTTATAGAAATGCTCAATGAATCTGGTTGAAGAATAAATGAACTGAGTGAGAACTTCAACAAGGGGGGAGGGGGAGACAAACAACGGGAACTAGGACTACAATAACTAAAATGAAAAAAATGTACTCCAGGACAGTGATCGGCAAACTCATTAGTCAAAAGAGCCAAATATCAACAGAACAATGACTGAAATTTCTTTTAAGAGTCAAATTTTTTAAACTTAATTTTTTTCTAATGCCACTTTTTCAAAATAGATTCGCCCAGGCCATGGTATTTTGTGGAAGAGCCAGACTCAAGGGCCAAAAGAGCTGCATATGGCTCAGGAGCCAGTTTGCAGACCAAAGATCTAGGGAATCTACAGCAGGTTAGCTGCTGCAGAAGAACAAATTATAGATTTGGAATTCAACTAAACAGAAGAGCAAAAAAGAAAAAAGTTTAATGTATCTCTGAGACAACATCAAGCATACCAATATTTGCATTGTGAAGAAAAGGGAACCCTCATGTACTATTGGGGGATTATAAATTGATGCAGCCACTACAGAAAACAGTATGGCAGTTCCTTAAAAAAATTAAAAATAAAACTATCATACTATCTAAAATTCCATTCGTGGCTATTAATAAAATACATAAGTACTTCAAAATCACTATTTCAGAGAACATACGTACCTTAACCTATGTTCATTGCAGCATTATTTACAACTACAGGCCCAGTGCACAAAATTCATGTACGGGGGTGTGTGTCCCTCAGCCCAGCCTGCACCCTTTCCAATCTAGGATCCCTTGAGGGATGTCCAACTGCCCTACTGGGATCGGGCCTAAAGGGGCAGACAGACATCCCTCTCACAATCCAGGGATGCTGGCTCCCAACTGCTCACTTACCTGCCTGGCTTTCTGATTGCCCCTAACCGCTTCTGCTTGCAAGCCTGATCACCCCCTAACCACCCCCAAACCAGTCTTATTGATGCCTAACTGCTCCCCTGCCAGCATGTTTGCTCCTAACTGCCCTCCCCTGCAGGCCTGGTCACCCCCAACTGCCCTCCCCTGCTGGCCACCCTGTGGTGGCCAACTTATGTCCACATGGGGGCAGGATCTTTGACCAGATGGGGGCAGTCATATTGTGTGTTGGAGTGATGGTCAATCTGCATATTTCTCTTTTATTAGATAGGATAGAGGCCTGGTGCACGGGTGGGGGCCAGCTGATTTGCCCTAAAGGTTGTCCTGGATCAGGGTGGGGATTCTCTTGGGGCATGGGATGGCCTGGACGAGGGGCCTGAGGTGGTTTGCATGCTGGCCATGCCCCCCCCTCCCCCGGTGACCCAAGAGGAGGTCCTGGTATCTGGGATTTATTTATCTTCTATAATTGAAACTTTGTAGCCTTGAGCAGAGGCCAAGGCAGGTCAGGGATGCGGAAGCTTGTTTTTGAGTTTCCTAATCTTGACCTAATTAAATTTAAAAACAAACCACCAAGGGAGAAAATAACTCATAATTTAATTTCTAGATATAGACTTAAATAATTGAAATGACTGTGACTATCAGAATCTCCAGGAGGCTTTTTCAAGCTCATCTTTATAGTCAACCATTTACAAGTGAGTTGAGTTAGGGAACTATTAATAGCCACAAGTAAACAGATATATAAAATTAAAGAAAAACTAGAAGAATTAAAATATTTATTATGTCTGAGAGAGGTGACAGTTTCTATACTTAGAGGCAAAAACCACTACTAGGAAATAGACAAACAGGAAAAACATTCTCAATTTTTCTACTATGAATTTAACCAGGCATTTATTTCAGTGTCAGAGCATATATCTTAGATGCACAAAAGTTAAACATGGCAATGTCATTCAGAAAAACCAGATTTTAAAAAAATCTTGTAAAACAATCTGAAAAATATTTTAAAAATAAAAGCATTATCACATGGATTTGTAAATATCAAGAATTAAGATCTGCACTTTGCAATCCAAATAACTAAGCCTAACTCAGAATTAATCTCACTAAAATAACTGGTCTTTAACAAGAGTATTAGTGAAATCTTCTACACCAGAACTGTAAAAGTTAATGAATAAGAATTATATACTTCAATTTTCTACTTTATTATTTACAAAACTTCTTCATTTGTATAATTACTAAGCTGATCAAGTGTTCCGTTTACTCAACACTTCTCTAGTAATTATGAGTTCAGAAGATAAAGAAACTATGGAAAAAACATAGGTCAAATATAGAAAACTATAACTTTCTTATAATAATTTATCTCTCTTATTGGAAATCTTAGTATATATGATAAGACCAAATATATAACATCAATCTATATTTTCAATGTTCCTAAATGCATGAATGAGATTAATTTTAGTTTTACTTACTGTGTAGTATCTATATCTGCATCAGGCTTGGTGCTCAATTGTTCCAGACAATATATAAAAATCTAAGTTAAAAAATAAGAAGTTTCAGTGACATGAACTCTTAGATTGTAATCTATTTGAATATCCTATATAATAAAAGCCTAATATACAAATTGTCCCCTCCACTGCAAGTTCAACCATGGGGCGGGGCCAGCTGGCAAACCACCAATGACCCCTTCTTCTCCCCCTGTCTGGCACTGCTCTGTCAGCAGCAGTGGCAGGCAGCCAGGGGAAGGGAGGCGCACGCCAGCAGTGGCACAGGCAGCCGGGGGGAAGTGAGGCCCCGGCTGGTAGCTGGCAGCCACTAGGGTCCTTACCTGTGCACAAATTTTGTACAGTAGGCCTCTAGTTGAAAACAATTTTATCTATAATAATAAAAGTGTAATATGCTAATTAGACCGGACAGCTGAACAACCTTCTGGACGTCCTACTAGATGAAGCTGCAGTTGTGGGGGCTAAGGTAGAGGAGGTTAGGGGTGATCAGGCAGGAAGGCAGGTGAGCAATTAGGGGCAATTAGGCAGGCAGAGTAGTTAGGAGCAATCAGGCAGGCAGGAAGAATGGTTAGGGGCAATCCATCTTGCAATCCTGGACTATTAGCTCCTAACCACTCACCTGCTTGCCTGATCACCCCTAACTACCTCTACCTGCCTGCCTGACTGCCCCTAACCACTACCCTGACTGCCCCTAAGCACCTCTGTCTGCTTGCCTGATCACTCCAACTGCTCCCCTGATCACCCCGTAACTGCTCCCCTGCTGGCCTGATAGCCCCTAACCACCTCTGTCTCACCCCCCACTGTGGCTTTGTCTGGAATGATGTCCAGAAGGTCGTTTGGCTGTCTGGTTCAATTAGCATATTACCCTTTTATAGATATAGATGTTATATAAATTCTAAATAACAGAAGATTGAAAAATAGAGCTTGAAGATGGCGACCGAACAGTCGGACCTATTCTGACTCTGGTCCCAGAACGGATAAAGGGGGCTTCTGAGTCGCTCAGGGAGAGTTGATTGGCAGCTAAGGGACAGCGGAGCTCTCAAGGAGGGTAAGGGAGAGTCCGCTGGACAGGATTTCCTGACCAAGTGGCCAGGACGGCCGCGGCAGCAGCAGCAGCAGCAGCAGCAGCAGCAGCGGCGGGGGCAGCGGAGGCAGCGTGCGGTGGGCTGCGGGCGTGGAGGAAGGGCTGCATTGTCTTGCCAGGAAGGAAAGAGCTTCTCTGAGGCGTGGAAAACGCACAGCCCGGAGGTCCATCGAGCAGCTGAGACTCCCAGAGCTGCGCAGACACGTGGATTCCGGGGAGATCTTCAGTCACCCACGGAAAGGTCAGAGTTTGCGGGGATAGCCTAAGGGATCTGGGTTCCGCGGAGGCGAGCTCCGGCCCCGCCTCCACTACGGTAGCTGGGGAGCTCCGGCCCCGCCTCTGCTACGGTAGCCGGGGAGCTCCAGCCCTGCCTCCACTGTAGACGGGTGCGCGAACTACAGCCCGCGGAGGCGGAGCGGAGCCCAGAGAAGGCTACAGCGACACCTAGTGCTGGGTTTGAAGTAATCCCCCCCAGAAGAGGGGCTTTTTTAAAACGCCAGGGGACAAGGGACAGTGTGTTAAGAATAGCGGCTGTCCCGCCAAGGGCGGAACATCTGGACACCTTGGCACCGGTTCCCATTCATCCCCTTGCTTCTGAATACTAGAGAAGAACTGCCCAGTTGGGCATAGCCGGGGAAATTGTAGGGGGAATTTGCCTTCTGGAAACAAGGGATTGGAGCCAGAAGACATAGTCCTGGAGCCAGCTAGAGCCATAGAGAAAGAAGGCCAGAGCAACCAAAAAGACTGGGAGGTCAAACCGGAAACACTGACACCTAAGAGCCGAATTACAAACTGCCTTTTTCTTTTTTTTCTTTTCTTTTTTTTTTTTTTTTTTTTTTTTTTTTTTTTTTTTTTCTCTTTTTTCTTTTTATTAATCAAAAATAAACGGACACAAATAACTAAGATATAACCTGCTTAAAATTAAGGTTTACCTTACAAAACTCAGGTGCAGTGGAATGCTGGGGACTGCAAGACTGTCTGGTCTGAGAATCAGGAGTGCCAAATACATTAACAGAGGAAGTGAATGACCACTACTGGACATTTTTATGCTAATTTTACTATTCTTTATTTTATTTTCATTTTTTACATCTTTTATTTAATTTTCACTTTTTATAGCATTTACTTAAGAAAAATTTTTTCTATTTTTTTCCTTACTTCATTTTACCTTTTCAATTATTACATTTTTCAATCTTTATCATCACTATTACTACTGCTATTTTGCAATTTTTGTTTCTTTCCTTTTTTTTTTTTTTTTTTTTTTTTTGTTCTTTGTTTTTTCTTGTTTGTTTGTTTGTTTGTTTGTCTGTTTGTTTCCTCTCCAGTACCATTTTATTTTATTTTTTTTCTGTATTTTACATTGGGAATAACCTCCATTCTATTTTAATCACTACTTTAGCATCATTCAACCCTATCTCAACTTGACCTTTACACCATCACTCTCTTACTAAACTTTACCCTTTTAGTCAACGGTTTATCCTATCCCTTTCCAGCTCTAGATTTTCCTATATTCTTTCTGTATACCCCTTGCTAAAGCTCTCACTATACGTATAGACCTAAGTTCCAACCCCTGATCCAAGTGTATAAATACCAATTTCTGTACTATATTAACTAGTTAAAAAAAAACAAAAACTGTTCTCCCCTCTATCCTTTGCGCATTGTTTGTGTGAGGGTTGATTATTGTGAATTTTTATGCTTCTTAGTGAAATGGTTATGCTTATTCCTGTGTTGTTATTGTTGCATTGTATTTTTTTTTAAAATCCTCTGTTTTTGTTTGTTTCTATTACTTCTGTATATCATAGACTTACTTAATAATAGTGGATATTGTAGTTTGTATTAATCTCCAAGTATTGTTACTGGCATTGGCTGGGTTCAGTAGTTGTTCTATGGCAATTTTCTCCACATATATATAGTTTGTTTCCCATTTCTCTTTTAGTTTGCTTCTTCTCTCCCTTTCTTTCTCTCTCTCTCTCTCTCTCTCTCTCCTTTCTTTTTTTCCCTGTTTTCCAACTTTATTTTGTCATTACTTTTTTTCTTCTCTTTATATCTCTTTATCCTTCTTTTTTTATTTTATTTTCTTAATTTTTTTTTTACATTTTAATTTTATAAAAAAATTTCTTTATTTTATTTTTACCTTTCTTCCTTCTCCCCTAACCCCTAAGTTGCCTTTCTCTAGTGGTCACCTTTATTTGAGGTTATTAATATTGTAAATACATTCCTGTTAAGTGCCTCTTGTGTTGTACCTGGTAGTGTTGTATATTGTACCTTTAAATCAACGCAGCAGAAGGAACACCACATAACCAGACACCCTGAAAAGAGAGGCTATGGGGAGACAAAAACATAGTCTGCACATAAAAGAAAAGCAGGCATCACCAGAAAAGGAAGTAGAGTCAGAGGCAACCAGCCTAACAGAGCAAGAATTCAGAATAATGATCATAGGATGGCTAAAAAGAATGGAAGAGAAATTTGACAATAACCAAGAAGAAATGAGGAAGAACCACGAGGAATTGAAGAAGAACCAAGAGGAAATGAAAAATGACATCGCTACCATGAAGAACTCAATAGAAAGCATCAAGAGTAGACTAGATGAAGCAGAGGACCGCATCAGTGAGCTAGAAGATAAGATGGAAAAATATACCCAAGTAGAGCAACTTCTAGAAAAAAAGATTAAAAAGCAGGAGGAGAGCCTACGGGAGCTTTGGGACAATACAAAACAAAATAATATTCGAATAATAGGGGTTCCAGAAGGAAAGGAAACTGAGGTAGACATGGAAAAAGTATTTCAAGAAATAATGACAGAAAACTTTCCTGAAATAGAGAAGAAAAAACCCACACAAATCCAAGATGCTCGCAGAGTCCCAAGCAAAATGAATCCCAGAAAACAGTCTCCAAGGCATATTATAATTAAATTGGCAAACAACAACGACAAAGTAAGAATCTTAAAAGCAGCCAGAGAGAGACAGAAAGTTACATACAAAGGAACCCCCATCAGACTAGCAACTGATTTCTCAACGGAAACTTATCAGGCCAGAAGGGAATGGGATGAAATATACAAAGTCATGCAAAGAAAGGGTCTGAATCCAAGAATACTGTACCCAGCAAGGCTATCAATCAAAATTGAAGGGGAAATCAGGAGCTTCACAGACAAAAAAAGACTGAAGGAATTTATCTCCACCAAACCAGCAATGCAAGAAATGCTAAGGGGTCTACTGTAAAAATAAAGAAATATTAAGTGAAGAAGGAACACAGGGGTATAGATTAAAAATGGCATCAAATGAGTACCTATCATTAATAACTTTAAATGTAAATGGTTTAAATGCTCCAATAAAAAGACATAGGGTAACAGATTGGATAAGAAAACAAGACCCATACATCTGTTGTCTACAAGAAACCCACCTCAGAAAAAAAGATGCACACAGACTGAGGGTGAAGGGATGGAAAAAAGTTTTCCAGGCAAATGGAAATGAAAAAAAAGCTGGGGTAGCAATACTTATATCTGACAAATTAGATCTCAGATTGAAGGACATAATAAGAGATAATGAAGGCCACTTCATAATTCTAAAGGGAACAATCCAACAAGAAGAAATTACCCTGGTAAATATATATGCACCCAATACAGGAGCAACCAAATACATAAAAAAACTGCTGGAGGACATTAAGGGAGATATTCATAGCAATACAATCATAGTAGGAGATTTTAATACCCCTCTGTCACCCTTTGACAAATCATCTAAACAAAAAATCAGCAAAGAAATATCAATCCTAAATGACTCACTAGACCAGATGGAATTAATTGACATCTTCAGAACACTCCACCCCAAAGCCGCAGAATATACATTCTTCTCAAGTGCACATGGGACATTCTCAAAGATAGACCACATTTTGGGACATAGGCAAAGTCTCTTCAAATTTAAGAAGATAGAAATCGTATCAAGTATCTTCTCAGACCATAATGGCATAAAACTGGAAATTAACTACAATAAAAATAATCCAAAGAAATCAAACACATGGAGATTAAACAGCATGCTATTAAACAAGGACTGGGTTACCAGAGAAATCAAGGAAGAAATTAAAAACATCCTGGCAACAAATGACAATGAAAACACAACAATCCAAAATCTATGGGACACAGCAAAAGCAGTTTTGAGAGGGAAGTTCATATCCTTACAAGCCTATTGCAAAAAACTAGAAAAAAGGGTAACAGATGATCTAACTCTACAACTCAAAGAATTAGAAAAGGAGCAACAAGAAAAGCCCAGTGTAAGCAGAAGGAAGGAAATAACAAAAATCAGAGCACAGATAAACGACATAGAGACCAAAAAAACAATACATAAGATCAACAAAACCAAGAGCTGGTTTTTTGAAAGAATAAACAAGATAGATGAACCTCTAGCCAGGCTAACCAAGAAACAAAGAGAGAGGACCCAAATAAACAAAATCAGAAATGAAAGAGGTGAAATAACAACAGACCCCACCGAAATACAACAGATTGTTACAAAATACTATGAACAACTCTATTCCAACAAACTGAACAACCTGGACGAAATGGACATATTCCTAGAAAAATACAACCTTCCAAAACTCAATCAGGAAGAATCTAAAAATCTTAATAGACCAGTGACGTGGGAAGAAATTGAAACAGTCATCAAAAAGCTTCCAGCAAACAAAAGCCCAGGGCCTGATGGCTTCACAGGAGAGTTTTACCAAACATTCAAGGAAGAACTAAAACCTTTCCTCCTCAGACTATTCCAAAAAATCCAAGAGGAAGGAACACTTCCAAACTCCTTCTATGAAGCCAGCATCACCCTAATACCAAAACCAGATAAAGACAACTCAATGAAAGAGAATTACAGGCCAATATCCCTCATGAACATAGATGCCAAAATCCTCAACAAAATTCTAGCAAATAGACTCCAGATGAACATCACAAAGATCATACACCATGACCAAGTAGGATTTATTCCAGGAATGCAAGGATGGTACAATATCCGCAAATCAATAAACGTGATACATCACATAAACAAACTGAAAGATAAAAATCATATAGTCATATCAATTGATGCAGAAAAAGCATTTGATAAAATCCAACACCCTTTCCTGATAAAAACTCTTAACAAGGTGGGAGTACAAGGATCATACCTCAACATAATAAAAGCTATATATGATAAACCCACAGCCAACATTATACTCAATGGGCAAAAACTAAAACCATTCCCTCTAAGAACAGGAACAAGACAGGGATGCCCACTCTCGCCACTCCTGTTTGACATAGTACTGGAAGTACTAGCCATTGCAATTAGACAAGAGGAGGAAATAAAAGGCATCCAAATTGGAAAAGAAGAAGTAAAGTTATCCTTATTTGCAGATGACATGATACTGTACATAAAAAACCCAAAAGACTCCATTAAAAAACTAATTGACTTAATAAATGAATTTGGCAATGTAGCAGGATACAAAATTAATGCCAAGAAATCCACGGCATTTCTATACACCAACAGCGAAACTATAGAAATAGAGATTAAAAAAGCAATTCCATTTACCATCGCACCAAAAAAATTAAGGTACCTAGGAATAAATTTAACTAAGGAAGTAAAGGACCTATATGCAGAAAACTACATGACACTGAAAAAAGAGATAGAGGAAGATGTAAAGAGATGGAAGAATATACCATGTTCATGGATCGGTAGAATCAACATCATCAAAATGTCCATACTTCCTAAAGCAATCTATAGGTTCAATGCACTCCCCATTAAAATACCAACGGCATATTTCACCGACCTAGAAAGAACTCTCCAAAAGTTCATTTGGAACAATAAAAGACCCCGAATAGCCACAGCAATCCTGAGAAAGAAGGGTAAAGTAGGAGGGATCTCAATACCAGACTTCAAACTGTATTACAAAGCCACTGTTCTCAAAACAGCCTGGTACTGGCACAAGAACAGACATATAGATCAATGGAATAGAATCGAGAACCCAGATATCAACCCAAATCACTATGCTCAATTAATATTTGACAAAGGAGGCACGAATATACAATGGAGTCAAGACAGTTTCTTCAATAAATGGTGTTGGGAAAATTGGGTAGACACATGCAAAAGAATGAAACTAGATCACCAACTTACACCATACACAAAAATAAACTCAAAATGGATACAGGACTTAAACATCAGACGGGAAACCATAAAAATACTAGAAGCATCCGCAGGCAGCAAAATCTCAGACGTATGCCAAAAGAACTTCTTCACTGATACTGCCCCTAGGGCAATGGAAGCTAAAGAGAAAATAAACAAATGGGACTACATCAAAATAAAAAGTTTTTTTACAGCAAAAGAAACCATCAACAAAACAACAAGAAAGCCCACGGTATGGGAGAATATATTTGCAAATAATACCACAGATAAAGGTTTAATCTCCAACATCTACAGACAGCTGATACAACTAAATAAAAGGAAGATGAATGATCCAATTAAAAAATGGGCAATGGACCTAAATAGAATATTTACAAAAGAAGACAGAAAGAAGGCCAAAAGGCACATGAAAACATGCTCAAAGTCACTAATTATCCGAGAGATGCAAATCAAAACAACAATGCGGTACCATCTCACACCTGTCAGAATGGCCAACATCAACAAATCAACAAACGACAAGTGTTGGCGAGGTTGCGGAGAAAAAGGAACCCTCGTGCACTGCTGGTGGGAATGCAGACTGGTGCAACCACTGTGGAGAACAGTGTGGAGTTTCCTCAAAAAACTGAGAATGGAACTCCCATTTGACCCAGTAATCCCACTTCTTGGAATATATCCCAAGAAACTAGAAACACCAATCAGAAAGGATATATGCACCCCTATGTTCATAGCAGCACAATCTACAATAGCCAGAATCTGGAAACAGCCGAGGTGCCCGTCAGCTGATGATTGGATCCAAAAACTTTGGTACATCTACACAATGGAATACTATGCTGCCATAAAAAAGAAGGAATTCTCATCATTTGCAGCAACCTGGATGGAATTGGAGAACATCATGCTGAGTGAAATAAGCCAATCAATGAAAGAGAAACACCACATGACCCCACTCATTTGTGGATAATAAAGATCATTATAATCTGATGAACCAAAAGATAGATATAGAGACAGTAAAGCAACAAGCAGATTGTCAAATTACAACGGGGAGGGGAGGAGGGTCTGGGGGAGACAATAAATCAACCCAAGGACTTGTATACCTGCATATAAGTACAACCAATGGACATAAAACTCTGGGGAGGGAGGGGATACATGGGAGGGAAGGAGGGGGGCAAAAAAAAAAAAATCAATAAAATATGTAAAATAAAAAAAAAATAAAAAAAAAATAAAATAAAAAAATAAAAAATAAAAAAAAAAAAAAAAAATAAAAAAAAAAAAAAAAGAAAAATAATTTGTATTATTTCAGGCTCAGGGTACCAGTGTTTGTAGTTATTACCTGCATGATATTGATGCTTAGTTGGCAAACCTCCTCCTGTGTTTTAGGTTGTTGAAAGACCTGTAAGGAAGAAATTTGGTGAAAAATTTTGGACTTAGCTCAAACAAAACTTTTCTTTATAAAGTTATATAAAATCAAACCAAGGCAAAACAAAAACATAAAAGCCAGAAGGTATACTAAAACAATAATCAAGAAAAACCTTTTCACAATACAAAATGAAACCACATATAGAAACAGTATACAGTGAGTATACTTGAAAATATTAACTCAGCATAACCAGAAGAGAATGCAAATGTAAGAGCAAAAACATGATACTACTACTAATAATGATGATAATAAATGAAATATTGAAGCGGGGAATAAAAGAGTTAACACTAAAGTGGAAAATTGTTTCTAGTGTGTATAACCTTATTCTGAAAAGGGCCATGAATGAAGAGCTGGACTAGGAAGTGAGTGTTTCTACCTACAGTGATTTTCCCTGAGAAGACACTGACATGGAGCAGCTTAACAACACCAAAATCACTTGTTTTCTCTGTATACAAAGTGTTAATAATGCACATAGTCTACCTACAACACCTATATTCACATTTTTAACTTCCATCAGCCTCTCTTGGAATCAAGAAATCAATAGCCTTTATATGAAATAAAACAAGCCAAGTAGTCGAGGGAAAAGCTCTTGTACTGAAATGACTCAAAACTTTACAATTGATTGCCAACAGGTCATTGGGAAAGTCTGCAACAGAGGTTGACCAGAACAGAAAACTTACACTGGCTTCTCCAGGCTTGCAGTCCAGAACTCCTTTAAGTGATTGCAGAGAATGTACAATGCACTGTTCAAACTGATATGGCTAAAGGAAAACCAAAACAAAACAAACACATACACATATATATCTTAAAATTCAAAGCAAGCAATGGCTGTTAAGATATTTAAAAGATGGGAGTATGAACAAAAATTCTCAAATTTTCATATTTATAGAAGGGAACAGAGTCACAAACTGACAACTTAGTTATCAAGATTTAGCTTTGCTATGTTTTGTACTTGATATTTAAGAACAGATGAAATTTGAAATTCTAAAGCTAATCAAATTCAATAAAAACAGAATTCATATATAAATTAAATTTTTCTTAAAAATTCTATTCTGAGTTGCAAATGATGTGATAAAAAGCAGATGTAATGCCTTTATATTTTAAACCCTGCTTGCAGTGTATAGTCTGAATGAGCTCCATCTCTTAAATGCTGTTCAAGGAAATTTAATGTTAATAATGATCTGGAAGAGACCAAGGTCTTTAACTTAGAAAGCCATTATTATCATTTTCTACATACATTATATCAGAAAATGAAACTTGAGAAATGCACAACAAATGGTATTTATTTAAGATAAATTTGAATGAATCTTAACATCTCAGCTTCTAATTGCATTTAAGGTTTTACTTTGTGCCAGGCATTTTCCAGATGATTCTATCTAATAAAAAAGTAATATTCATCCCTCAGGAGTCCCAGATTGGGGAGGGTGGAGGTTCGGCTAAGGGACATATACCCATGTGCACAAATTTCATGCACCAGGCCTCTAGTAGGAATATAAAAGACAGGCAGAGATCTTAGTAAATGTATATTCTAGGGAGACACTAATCATAAAAAAAATCAACGAAACTCTTACTTTTTACTAAAACAAGTCAAAAGTACAGAAGACAAATGCAATCCCAAACTAACTGTCATGAAGAAAATAAGTAGAACTCAGAGAAAAATGGTGACGGAGGGTGATCTGTTCTAAATAGGATGGCTAAAGAAGGCTCCTCTGAGACAGTGAAAACATTTCAGCTGGGGATTGAAGGACAAGAGGAACCAGCCCCTAAAAAGAAAAAGGAAGGAGAATGTGAGTTGGGGAGGAGGACAGCATGTGCCTAGCCACACCCAAAGTGGACAGAACTGGCGGGGCTGAGGAGCCATAGTATATCACAACCACTGAGCATGAGTTTGGAGGGTAAGAGATGAAGCTAAAGTCCAGATTTCATTCAGGGATGTTGAACTGTGTAAGATCAATTAAATGAGATCTGTGAAAAAATCAGCAGTTAGAACCTCTCCTCAATAGACATTTCAAAGAGTTGGGGTGGGGGAGAGAAGAAAGAGACACCTTTATATAGTGTGTGTGAGGGGGGCATGGAGGGGAAGACAAGCTTATTTTCTTAAAAAAAGGAACCCAGACTTAATGAATGCTAAAATCGTACCTTTAATGTATTTTAATACTACACTTGGCAACCACAGAGGCACCATAAAATACTTAAAAAGTACCAAAAAAAAAAAAAATGTTAGTGAGAGGTTATAGGATGAAATACCAACTGCACAGAAGTATTTAAAAAGTCAAAATGTTTATTAAATACATGATCTTATCCATTCAATGTACCGGGCTCAAAAGGAATGAAAATCTAAAATATTAAAATAGTAATAGAATTAAATTTAACATTCAACTGTGGACAGTTAAATGTTGAAGTTCATGTGTGGGTGACATTTCTTGTATTAAAATATGAACTAGGTTTTCTTATATTTGTTGTATATCTATACAAGACGCCCAGTGCACAAATTTGTGCATCACTGCGGTCCCTCGGCCTGGCCTGTGGGATGGGGCTGAAACCAGTTCTCTGAAATCCCCCAAGGGGTCCTGTATTGCGAGAGGGTGCAGGCCAGGATGAGGGACCCCAATGATGCATGATTGGGGTCAAGGAGGTTGGCCAGCCAGCGAGGAACCTTGGGAGGGCTCCAGGGTGTGTCCAGGCCCGTCTCACTCAGTCCCACAGCCAGACCACAGAAGCAATCTAACCTACCAGTTGGAGCATCTGTCCTCTGGTGGTCAGTGCACATCATAGCAAGTGGTTGAACAGTCTTAGCATTATTAATATACTAGAGGCCCTGTGCCCAAAACTCATGCACGGGGGCAGGAGTCCCCTCAGCCCAGTCTGCACCCTCTCCAATCCAGGAACCCTTGAGGGACATCCTTCTCACAATTTGGGACCACTGGCTCACCAGCCTGCCTACCAGATCACCCCCATCTGCCCCCCCCCCCCCTTGCCAGCCTGGTTGCCCCTTAGTGCCTCCCCTGTAGACCTGGTCACCCCCTACAGCACCCCCTGCTGGCGTGGCTGCTCCCAACTGCTGCCTCCTCTTGGTATTACAGAAATGTTAATGAAATGTAAATTACAGGTATATAGTTTAAGTCACTGTTCCAAGAATAAGAATTTTAGGTAGTTAAGTAAAAAATACTCAAAGCTGGAGCCTAGACTTTCATTCTAAACACTGATTCACCTTCTCTTAAGTAAAGTCCATGCTAAATAGTTAAAATTGTACTCAGCTTCATTAAGTCTATCATGTTGGCATGTTTCTTCAACACCTGACTAGAAAAACTGGCTGACCCCTCAAGTGTAACTTCCTATGGGTCATTCATCTACAGCAGTGGTTCTCAACCTTTCTAATGCCGTGATCCTTTAATACAGCTCCTCATGTTGTGGTGATCCCCAACCATAAAATTATTTTCATTGCTATTTCATAACTGTAATTTTGCTACTGTTAATGAATTGTAATGTAAATATCTGCTTTCTGGTGGTCTTAGGCTCTACAGCAGTGGTTCTCAACCTGTGGTTCACGACTTGCATGTTGAGAACCACTAGCAGGGTTGCCTAAGACCATCAGAAAACAGATATTTATATTACAATTCACAGATATTTAAATTTTGATATTTACATTTCAATATTTACATTCACATATATTTACATTACAATACACAGATATTTACATTTCCAATGGTCTTGGGCTCTATAGCAGCGGTTCTCAACCTTTGAGTCATGACCTACAAGTTGAGAACTGCTAGCAGGGTCATGGCATTAGAAAGATTGAGAACCACTGATCTACAGGTTGCAGTGGGTTTAGTTTTCTGGCTTGTGCGTGTGAAATCAAACATGAAGTTAGTTATAAGAGGTTACGGTTTCTTACTATTATATTTAAAATTTAAGTTGATGACAAATAATTTTTATAGTAACCATTTCAAAGCATTTTCAAAGAGGCTTATCTACTCAAACAATCTTAAATGTGGCAGCCATCAGGTAAGCAAGCACACACTGAGACCCCAGGTGTGACAGATACCAGGTAAGTGCATTCTGGGCTGACTGTGTGTATAAGAAAGAGTAACCTAAAAAAGGACATAAACCTAATACCTGTTTTATTGCTAAGTTTTGTTTTATTGATGGAAACTTTAAAAAATTGTAAACAGATGTTCATTTTCTCAAATTAAATATATGTAGTATTTTCATTTCCACAAAACTTATCTGAAACACAAATAAAAAACCAAGCAATAAAGTTAACTTTCTGTCTAATCTATCTTGGCTTATTTCATTTGCAGTAAGTTTTTCAGTATAGGATGGTCTAATGATCCACTTTAGCCTATCTTTCAGACTTGCTAAATAACTAAGCAGGATAGGGTTCTATGAAAGAGCTCTGAAAATACTAGGGCATAACATAAACTTAAGATACTATTATAGTGGCCTCAGTATTATAGGTATGAATTTAAAAATAAAACTAGAGGCCCAGTGCATGAAATTCATGTACAGGGCTGGAGGTGGGGGTGTCTCTCAGCCTAGCTTGCACCCTCTCCAATCTGGGATCCCTCTAGGGATGTCTGACTGCCCGTTTAGGCCCAATCTTGGTAGGATCGAGCCTAACTGGGCAGTTGGACATCCCTCTCACAATCCAGGAATGCTGGTTCCCAATTGCTCACCTTCCTGATTGCCCTTAATTGCTTCTGCCTGCCAGCCTGATCACCCCCTAACCACTCTCCTGCCAGCCTGATTGATATCTAACTGCTTGACTGCTAGCCTGTTTGCCCCCAACTTCCATCCTCTGTAGGCCTGGTCACCCCTAACTGCCCTCACCTGCAGGGTTGATTGCCTCCAATTGCTCTCCCTTGCAGGGTTGGTCCCTCTCAACTGCCCTCCCTTGCAGGCCTGGTGCCTCCCAACTGCCCTCCCCTGCTGGCCATCTTGTGTTCACATGGGGGCAGATTCTTTGACGACATGGGGGCAACTATTGTGTGTTGGAGTGATGGTCAATCTGCATATTATTCTTTTATTAGATAGGATAGAGGCCTGGTACATGGATTGGGGCCAGCTAGTTTGCCCTGAAGGGTGTCTCAGATCAGGCTGGGGGTTCCCTTAGGGTGTGGGGTGGCCAGAGCGAGGGGCCTGTGGTAGTTTGCACTCTGGCCACACCCCCTGATGACCCAAGAGGAGGCCCTGGTATCTGGGATTTATTTACCTTCTACAATTGAAACTTTGTAGCCTGGAGCAGAGCCAAGCCTCCTGCTCACTCCAGGCAGCCATTTCTGTTTGGATTTGTTTATCTTCTATAATTGAAACTTTGTAGCCTGAGTGGAGGCCTAGGCCAGCAAGGGCAAGCAGAAAATTTGGCTTCGTCTGTTGTCTGGGAAACACAAGCCTCCCTCCTACTCTCTGTGGCTGTAGTCATCTTGGTTGGGTTTATTTGCATACTCACTCTGATTGGCTGGTGGGAGTTGCTTGTGGGTGTAGCAGAGTGATGGTTAATTTGCATATTACTCTTTTATTAGGTAGGATTTCTTTATATGTGTACAAAGCATTGTTCTACAGTGTCCCATTTAATTTTAACTAGCAACACTGAAAAAGTGCTCTGCTTCTTTAACTAGGACAGAGGTTAAGTGGCTTCTTTAAGGCTGCATGGCTATGATATACCAGAACTCAGGAGTGAACCAGACTAGGATTCTAGATCCACTGCAGTATCTGTTCCGCTATACCAGTGTTGTCTGACAGAAGTAATAATTTGAACCAGAAACACAAGCCATGCATACAATTTTAGATTTTTTAAGAGAACTAAAAGAAAAAAAATAATATAATTTATGTAATAAAATATATCAAAATATTATTTCAACATGTAATAAATATAAAAAGTTGAGATATTTTGCATTCTTATCATTGGGTCCAAGTCTAAGAGTTTTAGTTAGCTAAAAATATTCAAAGCTAGAACCTTTGATTGTATTTTCAAATCTGATGTGTATTTTACATGAGCAACATTTCAAGTGGCTGCCTTACTAGATGGTGCAAGGTCTGCCCATACCTCTTTCCTCTTTTGTATTTAAATACAAATCATTATAAAAATAGAATAAACCAAATGAATCAAAACAGATCTTTATAAAAAATAATTCCTTTAAAATATAATCACAATGCAATCATTTCAAATTCCCTTAATTTCAAGCATGATTTAATTTTAAAAAATGTGGAAGCACTGCTGTTCTATAATAAATCACAGTGTACCTACAAAGGAAGGTGTACTGTAGACGTTTATATTAACTTAAGAAGGAACCTTGGCCTTTCGAGAAACGGAGGGGAAATTTCAATTTGTCAACAATTCCTCAACTCTCAAAGGAAAGTTGTCAATAAGAAGTGTAGAAATTTGAGGAAATGTAATATTTCATGGGATTATTGCTTTTCAACAACCTGACTCAAATAAATAATGGAGATATAATGTATAGCACAGGAAATACAGTCAATAACATTGTAATAACTTGGAGGAAAAAATGGTGACAATAGAGGGGGAGGAGAAACCTGACTTCACCCCCACTTTATAAATTCTGACAAATCAAAACCATTTTATTTTAGTTTCCTTATCTAGTTGCTAAGTTGGCAGAAACTGGTCTATGACACAGATATAAAACACAATAAATGATGGTATTTTGAAAACCTAAAAGTCCTATATGAAAAGACGATGATCCTTCTGAATGAAGATCACAGCTATCTGACATGGGTATGCATCTGGAGAACTTCAACAATGTTATTTTGGCTAGAAGCCAGCAATAGCATTTTTTTTTTTTTTCTATCCTGCTTTTATAAAAAATTCAAGTTGCCAGGTAACTTCGAATTAAGCATAATCTATTAAAAATGCAATGCAAGTAAAAATAGTAAGTGATACAATGAGAAATGTCTATTCTAAAAATTCTACTTTTTATTAATTTTTAAATATGTGTGGTTAGTGGTCAGCAAAAATGACTCTGAGAAGAAAACTTGAAGAAATTTATTTTTCTATTTCCAGAAACTATTTAAGTTGCAATACAGAAAGGGCGTGCTCCATATTAATAAAACAAATAATTTATTTCAAATATGATATACACTAATCATTTAAAAGAATTTAAACTTACTAGAGAAGTCAACCCTTCATTATCAACAATCCAGTCTTCCTTTTCAGCTAATCTCTTTATTTCTACAGGGAGAACAAACACACAAATATTTTTTATTGTGGTTATTTCACTGAACTTTATAGAGATAAAAATCTATGGGTTATGATTTTTAATTGTATTTTACAGGTTTGTAAAAAAAAATGGCAAATGTAGGTACAGAATATAATTCTGGTAAACTCAAGGATTTAAATGTGTATTATTCACTGGATTTTTCTAATCAAACATTACTGTAAGTAAAATTTTTTACTACATACACATAATCCAATTTGGAGAATGTGAGGCTAGGTTTAATAATAACTTTAGACAATTTATTATTTATTCAGCACTCTTGATAATCTTAAACATGTACAAAATAACTATGTACTATTTCCCCCCTAAAATTTCTAATGAACAATTTAGATTCTTTTATAATCCTTTACATTCTGACAATGGCAGTCTTATTCCCACTTGGCTAAAGGAATACCTTTATCATTGCGATCTGTTTCAGATCCCTGAGAGGAGGAGGTGATGAATTAAGAGGACACTATTCAGTTTTTCACCTGATCCCATTCCCTTTTTGTTTATAGAGTGCATTAGTCACCAATTCTGTTCTGAGAGAAATTAATGATGATAGACCTGATGATAGGTAGTAATATCGATAGTTTATGTCATTTGTAATGTTCTTGATTTAAAAAAATATATTTAATGTAAAAAAAGTAGCTCTGATCATTACTAATGAACCCAGACAGTAAGGGGATGAGGGCATGTGCTGGGTAGGGGGAGCAGCTAGGGAGAGGTCAATGGGGGAAAATGGAGACTTATGTAATACTTTAAACAATAAAAAACTTAAAAAAAAAGTAACTTTATAAAGATAATCTTAATTGTTTTTTTATAATTGTAGGTAAAAATCCCCAAATTCTTTAAAGTATAAAGAAAATGATCATCACTTATAATGTCTACTACCTAAAGAACCACTGTTAACAGTCTTTCTTCTGATTTTACATTGTTATTTCTAAATAAAAATTTAAAATACACACACACACACACACACACACACACACACACACATATATATATATATATATATATATATATTTAATAATGGTATAATACTTTATATACTTTTTACATTCTACTTTTTCTACATAATATTTGCCATAAAGATGTTTTTATATACATAAAATTTTTTCAAGTATATCCATCTTTATTTCTGCATGCCTTGGTATCTCAAGTTTTTTAAAAATTACTTTTGAAAGAATTCTATTGAGCAGCATTCTTTAGACAGATGGTTTAAAATATTCAAATTTCCATAAAAGTAACTTATTGTTTCAAGAATTTGGAAGCTAGAAAAAGGGGGATATTCAGTAATCATTGTCTAGTAAATGCCATCAATTTTTCTTAACATACCTTCCGCTGTGTGTTGCAATGTGACCATCACACAACGTACTCGGAGATCCAAAATGAGATCCTGGATAGTCTGTAGCATGTCATTAGGAATTTCAAGGGCCGTCAGGGATTCATAAGTAAGTCTATAAAATAAACACAACAAACAAAAGTGAATGAGTGGAGTGCAATTACAAAGCAGTCCCTTGTCATCATTTTGGCCACCCTATAATAAATGATGCATTTGGAGCTTAGAAGCTACAATATTATGTTGAAAATAAAGTAAAAGTAAGACTATAGGAGGGATTACAATATAACAGTAACACTAAATTAACAATAATATGCATATCAAATGTTAGACCAGGAAGGTTTAAGAGACTGCTAGATGACACATGGGAAAAGTGGATGCAGAAGGACACCAAGTAAAATTCTTGGTAGAATGTATTAAAAATCATATCACATAATGAGTTTTTTTTTAACAGTAAAATACATTTATCCTTTTCAGGAAAATGTGTGCATATTTACCTTATGGTCTGTATGACATGAGTAAGCCACTGTCCAGAGAGCTCAGACTTCACCTCCCAGCCTCCATATTGCCTCACTCCACCCTCTGGGATGCTAAGTGGGAGTAGTGCTCCACGGATCAGCTTCACGAGACTCTGCATTACTTCCTGAATCATTTTCTAAACAATGATAAATAAATGAAGGATTCTGCTTGCGTGGTGATGAATATCTTGAACATAAATAAAGTCTTCTACTATGACTGAAAAAAACCTTACCTTGTGAAAAAGTCTACATACTTACCCTTAACTTACCTTAAAATCATTTTGTCTTTGCCTGACATTCTTTGATCTTTCAATCTGGCCTGACTTCTCAGCAGTCTTAAAAATTAAAAAAACAAATATTTATCTTTAGAAATAATTTGCAAAAATAAGAAATTCTTTAGGGTTGTATATAAAAAAGAATGAAGTCCTATATAATAAAATCCTAATATGGAAGTTGACTGAATGATGGAATAACTGGTCACTGTGAAGTGCACTGACCACAAAAAGGCAGAAGCTCAATGCTGCAGCTGCCCCTGGTGATCAGTGCACTCCCACAGGGGAAGTGCCACTCAGCCAGAAGCCAGGCTCACAGATGGTGAGAGCAGCGAGTGTCAGCAGCAGTGGTGGGAGCTTATGCTGTGATAGCACCAAGGACCCCTTGAGGGATGTCTGTCTGCTGGCTTAAGCCCGCTCTCTGCTGTCCCAGACTGGGAGAGAACGCAGGCTGGGCTGAGGGAGTGGAGTCCCCCTTGTTGCACAAATGTCACGCACTGGGCCTGTGTTATGATTATAATTTGTTTAAGAGAAATGTGCATGCATATGAGCCTAATCAATGGATACAGACAACAGGGGGGTGGGGCATCAGTGGGAGTGGGGGAGTAATAGGGGAATAGAGACATATATGTAAAAAATTAATAAATTAATAAATAAAAATTTTATAAGAAAAAATATTAAATCTAATCTATACAAGTGGTCCCCATAACCTTAAGAGAAATTGTTTCATCTGACAAAGATTTTTAAGTGAAACTCTCTGTAGCCTGAAAATTATCATGGAAGGAAATAAAGAGAGGTTTCCTTCAAAAGTCGTAAGGATTGTAATTGAGAGTTAATATATTTGGCCTCTTGAAATAAAGTAAATAATTTGTGTGTTTTCCTCCCTGACAAAGTTTATATAAAGTTACAAAAAGAAATTGACAGCCAGTTTGAAATTGAATTGCCAGGGCCCAGAGCAAAGAATATCCTTACATGATATTATCCTACAATGTCATTATAATTTTTGATATCTCACAACAGGATATTATTACCCCCCCGAAAAACTTACAAACTAATTCTATGAATGTTTGGCAACAATTTAAAAAAGGACATGAAAGGATTTAATCCCTTTCAGAAGGAATTAAGACACTGAGAAAGCACTGGAACATTCTATATTGTCCCCTCTTGCCCTTTGGCCAAGAGGGACTCTCCTTTTACAATCCAATTGCCCACAGTTGTTGCCTGAGCTTTCTGTTCATGCTGAGGTTGAAACCTCCTGGTGGCCAGTACCATGGATCTGTCTCTCACCCAATGATGTGAGCTGGGCCCTCCCTGGAGAAGAAAACTGAGTCCTCCAAGATATGTGATTAGTGCTGGGGCCCACCAACAGGCAAGGGGATCCCAAGACAGGAGCTGGGTGAGAAGGCCATGGGGGCATAGGCTATCAAGGAAACAGTACTGAACCTCAAATAAGTCTGCTTGGCCCCGGAAAATGGCTGGTTAGCCAGAGATGGGTAAGATTCCTCAGGGAAGGAACAACCTAAGACAGGCACAGTCACAGAGGGGCCATCAGGAGAGAACATGGAAATCAACAGAGATGGGGCACAGACCCTCACCCACCCAACCTTGCAGGGATCTGAACCCTTACCCCTTCGGAGGGAGGTCTCCTGCTCCCATGGCTGCTTCACTTCCCACATCCAGTTCAGACTGAGACCCAGGTAACAGACTTGGCCCAGCTCAGATGGAGACCCAGGTAACAGACAGAGACTTGGCCAACAGCAGCTGCCCTATATCTAAATCCAGCATAACACCAGGAATGCTCAGGGCCTACTCAAGAATGCAAGTAATCCTTTCCACTAATATTTCCAGGGTAAACTAAGATTGTTGTTAGAGTATTACATTTGACAGTAAAATAGTAATCAAGTTTTCAGGTTAATTTAAATTGGTTAATAGAAATAAGTGAACATCCAAGAAAATTTAAGTGTACTGGATAAAAAGCTGTTCCTAAAGTAGTAACTAAAATTTCTATTGGTAGTGCATCTCACGGTAAAATTGCTTAACATGAAATGAATCTAAAGCAATCTTATATTTGTGCAAAAACTTAAAATTTAAAGCTATTAAGATTGCATTACAAAATTTACAAAAGCATCCATTAAAAAAAGGGGGGGGGGATAGAAGAGTAATATCATATAAGGAAAAATATCCTGTAAGTAAATTACATCTAGAAAATTGTTACTGTAGAAAATTAATTTTCATTTGTAATGCTAACAGCAAGACACCCATGAAAATCACTCATGGTGTCAAAATAAGCCAATGGAAAATCGTTTGGGCAAAAACAAAAAGGATCCCAAGTCAATCTAAGATTCCTTTATTAACTTTTGGTTGAGAATATGTTTGTATATTTTCAGAAAACTACTGCAAGACCATGGAGATTCCTGCAACAGAGAGGAGTTGTCAGGTCTGCTCCAACCACAAAGACAAGAGGAAAAACAGTCCAGAGATGGAAGAAGCTGACGACTCCTGGCCACACTAGCAATCAGCAGTTATGCATTGCTGAAGGTTGCCCAGGACCAAACCAGAGAAGGTCGGAACTGTATTGCCACCATCTGTCCATCATCCAGGTATCATTGCTGACATGTACACATGTTTGACATTGAAACTGGGTCTCAGAACTGTTGGACATTGAAATTGGGACTGAAATGTTTTTTGTTATTATATGTTTATTTCTAGTCTGCAGTTGCAAGATTTTTTAAGGAAAAGAAATGGGGGAAAATACTTATAAAGAATCATTGAACAGACTGTCAAACTATAGCAGGAAGGCAAGGGAGGTTGGGGGTGGGGAGGGTTGGGCTGTAAGAGATCAACCAAAGGACTTGTATACATGCATATAAACATAATCAATGGATATAAGACATGGAGGGGCAGGTAAAAGCATATGCGGGAGAAAGGAGGTTGGGGAGGCTGGGGGGAGATTTAGGGGCAAAAAAAGGAGACATATGTACTACTATTTGTAATGCTTCAAACAATAAAAAAGGAAAAGAAATAATCTAAATTTCTGATTAAAGGGTGACTAATCAGAAAGCCTTTTTTATTAAAACAAGAAGTTTTTCATCTTCCTAAAATGTTTCAGTATAATTCCCATAAATGAACCTAAGTATTAACTGAGACTACCTTTTTTATAGGAAATTTTCATATGCCATTTCATTAAATATTTTATATGCTTAGTCTGACCAGCATGGCTCTGTGGTTGAGCACCTACCTATGAATCAGGTTAACAGTTTGATTCCTAATGAGGGCACATGCCTGGATTATGGACTCGATCCCAAGTGGAAGTCATGTAGGAGGCAACCAATTGATGATTCTTTCTCATCATTGATGTTTCTCTCTCTTTCTCCCTCTCCCTTCCTCTACTAAATTAATAACAATATATTTTTAATACTAATTTTATATGCTTAAACCTAAAAGTATCATATCTATGATAACATTCTCAAAATCATTTCTCACTGACTAGGATGAAAATAAAAGAAAGAGTAAAACTGGATTAATATCTAGTAATCTCAGGACATCCATTCCATTCCCTGGACAAATATTTATGAATATAAATATTATATCTGACATTTTATTTTTTTTAAAATTACAAATCATTACTTTTTTTCAGAGGTTTTACAGTCTACCTTAGTATAGTAGAAAATCTATTCTAAAATTATTTTTTTTACCTGTTTACTGATAGCTATTATTTCACCTCACATTTCTCTTTTCTTTAATGTGTAGATGACTACATTGCATTGATTAAAGAGAAATCTATTCAATTGGATTTCAGTTAACTTTTCATTACTAAAGTTGATGGTATCTTTTCATTACCTTTGAAGGGCAGGCATAGGAAACTTTCCAAATAAAGAAGTAGTAACAAAAAAATGGTATAATGTAAAAGAAAATCCTGATATCTCATTAACATAATGCAAAAGTTATCCTTTAAAGTCAAAGCATTTATATGTTATTGGTTAAAGACAAGTCAAAGAACTTTCATGCTAAGAATAATTGCATTAAAAATTATTGTATTGACTTGAAGTTAATTTTACAACACAAGTAATGTTATATATATTTCATATATAAGCTAGAAACATAGTGTATAGAGTTGGTTTATATGATGAACATTACCGACATGAATACATAAAAGAAGAGTAAGGCCTGCAAATGTTTTCAACAAAAATATCAGATATACCTGATAAAAAGTAGTCAACATACACAGATATACAACTCTTCAGACTCTGATTTACACTTAATTTAAAATTGTATATTAAAATATGCAGCTTTTGGAGAAACGAAGATGGCGGCAAAAGGTAAACACATATAATGCTGCCTCGCACAGCAATTTTAAAACTTCAACTGGAAGACAGTGGACATGATCCAGAAGCACTGGAAAGCTGGCTGAGTGAAAATTCTACAACTACCGGTACACGCATCTGCGAAAGTCTCCTCCTCTCTCCCACCTCGCGCTCACCACTCACTCCGACCTCTGCTCTGCCTCCACACAGCAGTGATGTCAGGACTCTGCCTAACGTCACTGGTTGCTAAATGCCAGTCAGGGCGGCCCTAGCGACCAGTTTACAGTAAATTAATTTTCATCCTAAGACAGAGCCTAGGGGGGCCTTATTTTCGGGGGCCTTATATTTCACTCAGAAGGAAACCTGTAAGTAGGTCTTATTTTCGGAGGATGTTTTATTTTTGGGAAAACACAATAGAAGAAAAGAAAAAAGGACACTGAGACCCAGAGGAGGTGTGGAGGTGCGGAGACCTGTGCATGCGGAAAGGGCTGGTGGCTGAATACACGGCTGGCTGGCTTACTCGCCACGTGAGAAAGGGCGGGCAGCAAATGCGCGGCTAGCTTTCTTGTTCAGGAGGAAAACAAAACTTTCCAACTGCACTGAAATCCAGCTTCAGGTAAAACTTTGGGTACCAGACTCATTTGGGGAGAAATAGTACTGTCTGGAAGCCGGTGAAACTCGAGAGCAACCTTCTCTTAGAGGTGCATGCAGCCATTACTGCAGTACACTGAGAATAGGACCTTCTTAGGGCAGGGCTGA